CTAAATTTTTGACCCATCTTGGCTCCTAAGTTGGCCCTTCGGCGCTCCACTACGCGGGCCGAGGGCTTTTTTGCAGCGTTTTACTTTTTTTTGTCATGTCTTGAGGCCATTTTTTTTTCTAGCATGCCTAAAAATATGTAAGGATCGTGTCTGCAAAATTTCAATATTTTTTGACGTCGTTTTTATTTTATTACATTTTTTAAAGATGAAAAATAAAGAAGATCGTAAAAAATAGAATATTCATCAAAAAATGGTGCCGCTCTTTGCATTAATTCCTAAAAATCATATATTAATTTTAAAATGTAAAACATAAATAAAAATATAAAATTTTGACCCATCCAGGCCCCTAACTGGCCCCTGGGCGCCCCATTACGCGGGCCGAGGGATTTTTGATAGCGTTTTACTTTTTTTGTCATTTGTTGAGGCTATTTTTTTGCATACCTTAAAAAATGTAAGGATTATTTATGCAAACTTTCATTATTTTTTGACGTCGTTTTTATTTTATTATATTTTGTTAAAGACGAAAAAGAAAAAAAATCATAAAAAATAGAATATTCATAAAAAAATGGTGCCGCTTATTGTATTAATTCCTAAAAATTGTATTTTAATTTTTAGAATGTAAAACATAAATAAAAATGTAAATTCTTGACCCATCTCGGCCCTTGTGCTTCGCCCTGGGCGCCCCATTATGTGGGTCGGGGGCTTTTTGACAGCGTTTTACTTTTTCTGTCATTTTTTGAGGCAATTTTTTTCTCGCATGCCTAGAAAAATGTAAGGATCATGTCCAAAAATTTTCATTATTTTTTGACGTCATTTTTATTTTATCATGTTTTTTATATACGAAAAATAAAGAAAATAAAAAAAAATAGAATACTCATGAGAAAATGGCGTCGCTTATTGCATTAATTCTTAAAAATCATATATTAATTTTAGAATGCAAAACATAAATAAAAACGTAAATTTTTACCCATCTCGGCTCCTGAACTGGCCCTTGGGCGCCCCACTACTTGGGTTGGGGGCTTTTTGACAGCGTTTTATTTTTTTCGTCATTTTTTGAGGCCTTCTTTTTTTGGCACTCCTAAAAAAATATAGGGATCTGTTGTGTGGGAAAATGTGACGGACACGTGGACGAAGTAGACCGTGACACGTGGTCTTGACTAAAGCCCCACCAAGCAAGGAACCCTCGACGCTTACGGACCCCTCCTATTTCGCAGCGAAGGCCCAAGGACGAAGTCCAAGTCTGGGCAATGATCCCTTGTGGCGTCGACTGATTGCGCCATCGACACTAAGGGATGAAGATCTCTCGACCGCAGAAAGGGCCACCGAAGAAGGCGGTTGAGCTGAACAGTGCTGACGACGAGGGGAACGTCCTTTAGAGGACGTAATGGGTTACGTGCAGAAGTGGAGAAGGTCTGCAGGCATTAATTGTAAGCTGTCAGACCGCCCCCACAGGGGACAGAAAAGTATTACGGGGAAGCACAGAGCCGTAATGGGAGACTAATTGGCTGAGTGAACAGTACTGATTAGTGGGCTACGTCTGGGCCTACCAGAGGAGGGCACTTGAGTGCCTCTACCTATGAAGGAAACCCCCTAGGCGAAGGAAGCCCAATGTAAAAAGAGGAAGACCCCAGTAAGGAGGGGGTTCGAGAGAATAACAAGGGAAGAACAAATTTAATAAGAATTATGATTGTAAGTTGTGATCTTCCAAAAAAGATATACAAAATTACAGTGGATGTAGCTCTCATCTTATAGAGTGAACCACTATAAAAACTCCTTGTGTCATTTGCCTGTGTATGATTTAGTTAACTTACAAACACACACATGTTCTACAAATCCACATACGTTAAACTATACACACGCGGCCGGTAATCCGAAGGGAAACCAAGAGGTAATCTAGTCGGTTTTTTGTTGGTGAAATTTGACCGTCAACAGGATCATCTCTATAAAATTTCATTATTTTTTGACGTCGCTTTTATTTTATTATATTTTTTAAATACGAAAAATAAAGAAGACAATAAAAAATAGAATATTCATCAAGAAATGGTGTCACTTGTTGTATTAATTCCTAAAAATCATATATTAATTTTAGAATGTAAAATATAAATAAAAGGTAAATTTTTGACCCATCCCGGCCCCTGAGGTGGCCCAGGGGCGCCCCATTACGCGGGCCGGGTGCTTCTTAACAGCATTTTACTTTTTTTGTCATTTATTGAGGCCATTTTTTGGCATGCGTAGAAAAAAATAAGGATCGTGTGTGCAAAATTTCAAAATTTTTTGACGTCGTTTTTATTTTATTATATTTTTTAAATACAATAAATAAATAAAATCATAAAAAAGAGAATATTCATCAAAAAATTAAGTTGATTATTGCATTAATTCCTAAAAATCATATATTAATTTTGGTATGGAAAATATTAATAAAAATGTAAATTTTTAATATATCCCGACCCTTCAGCTGGCCCATGGGCCCCACTACGCGAGCGGTGGGCTTGTTGACAGCGTTTTACTTTTTTTGTCATTTTTTGAGGCTATTTTTTCTGGCATGCCTAGAAAAATGTAAGGATCATGTATGCAAAATGTCATTATTTTTTTATGTTGTTTTATTTGATTATATTTTTTGAATATGAAAAATAAAAGAAATCATAAAAAATAGAATATTCATCAAAAAATGGTGCCACTTGTTGCATTAATTCCTAAAATCGTATATTAATTTTTTAATACAAAACATAAATAAAAATATAAATTTTTGACCCATCCCGGCCCCTGAGCTAGCCATGGGGCGCCCCATTACGCGGGCCGCGGGCTTTTTGACAGTGTTTTACTCTTTTTTGTCATTTTTTGAGGCCGTTTTTTTGATGTGCTTAGAAAAATGTAAGGATCATTTCTTCAAAGTGTCATTATGTTTTGACTTCGTTTTTGTTTTATTATATTTGTTAAAGTCGAAATATAAAGAAAATCATAAAAAATAGAATATTCATCAACAAATGGTGTCGCTTATTGCATTTATTCCTAAAAATCATATATTAATTTTAGAATTCAAAACAAAAATATAAATGTAAATTTTTGACCAAGCCTGGCCCCTGGGCGCCCCACTATGCGGGTCGGGGGTTTTTTTGATAGCGTTTTACTTTTTTTGGCAGTTTTTGAGGTCATTTTTTTCTGACATGCCTAGAAAAATGTAAGGATCGTGTTTGTAAAATTTCATTATTTTTTGACGACATTTTTATTTTATTATATTTTTTAAAAATAAAAAATAAAAAAATTATAAAAAATAAAATATTCATAAAAAAATATGGAAAGCACTTGTTAGTCACAATCAACACATTAAGCGGTCAATTTTACAAACCCAATTATTTCCTATTTTCTCCCAATTTATCAGCAATAAATCTTGATTAGCAAAGAATAATTTCGGCTCCCGTTTATTTTACTGATTTGAGTTTAGAATTTAAATTTTATTAGAGTAAAAAACTTTTACAAACAGTAATATTTAATTTTTTTAGTACAATAAAAAATTTTGATATAAAATTATATCTCAGCTCAAATTAAAAATTTGAATAAGAGAACTGCGAACTAAACACGTCATTCGTATTTTGTTAAGCAGATTTATCTAAGACATATTTTTGAAATCCTCTAGTGTTATTTATGGAAAACGCCATGCGTCAAATTTTAATTGGAAGTCTTTTTTAGGGGAAATCATGTGGTATCATGTGAATAATTTTATCTCTACACGTGCCAGTACCTGATTTGTTGAAAAACTGAGCTCAATGAATCAGATTAAAGGGAATCAAACGCCGGTAGAAAGTGGCCGACAAGCCCACCACGTATCCCGTTCTGATTGCTTAACGGCAGAGCATAGCGGGGCCCACCTCACGCATAATGGATGCTTACCTGCTGTTCCACACCTATTTGCCTGAGCGTGATGTTCACGCGTGCATCGTGGCTGTGATCAGCTCGATCAGGCTTAAAAAATTTCAAATCTAATTATTATTATATTTATTTATTTTTAAACTGATGAATTGTTTAATTTATTCATTTTAACATCCTTTCATACTAAATTTTTTGATATTATTCAGACAAAAATATTATAAATAATTTGAATATAAAATAAAATAAAATAAAAATATCCTAAAATAAATAAAATTACAATAAATTAAATAAAAATACAAATTAAACAAAATAAAATATAATTAATTTTAAACACAATAATTAATTTTAAACACAATAAAATAACGTAAAAATTTTATCAAGAGATCATCTGGTACGTCTGGCGTACCGGTAAGTCAAATTTTTTTAATCGTTAAATTTAGATACTTTTTAATTTTTATGTAATTTTATATAAATTTAACGAATAAAAGACTTAATCTACTGATATATTAACGTACCGAAAATAATCTTTAACTTTTTTTTCTTGTCTTTTATTTGAGATATTTTTCTCGTTTTTGTCTTGATTTTTTTATGTGTTTTTTTTCCTTTCTTCCTTCTCTCTTTTTTACACAATTCATGTAACCTTATTTTAAATGAATCTCCACGCGCGTTTAAGACTAATTTAAATAGCAAAAAAAAAAAGTTTGGGACTCGAGGTACTATTTATCTGTTTTCTTCTTTTTTATTTTATTTTTTTTCTTTTAATTGTTGCTTGAAACTTTTCTTTATTGTTCGGAAAACAAAAATCAAAGGACGAGGGGACCACGCACGAGAGCTGGTCACGTGTCTCCAAATACTCTTACGTGTGAGACTAAGGAGTGGTTAGGCTTTTTTTTTTTTTTTTTTTTCCCTAAAAAAATTACAAATGATTACTTCTTTGTCTTTTACTTTTTCAGAAGCCCCTTTTCAGTTTTCACTGCTCGCTTACTAAGTAAGTTGCCACCAATGACTAACACGTAGATTTTTTCTTCTATAAATTTTTTTTTTAAAATGCTATAATTGTTAATTTTTTTTAGTAGAACACGAAACCCTTTTTTATAATTATTGAATAATTAATTACGTCAATATCCGTCTTTGTTAATCTTGGTTGGCAAATATTAGTATGACCTTAAAAACAAAAATCAACTTTCGTTTAGTTTGACGAGCAATTCGGAACTCACTTTGATCTCCCACCTCTCAGAAACTCGGATTCCGTTCCAATCCTCAACTGGGTTTCTCCGATTCTTCTCAAAACTCTCACATTTTCCCATCAAAATCTTTTTTTTTCCTTTCTTTATTATTGTCCATTAGAAAGTGGTCCTTCCTCTCTATAACTGTAAGGCACGTTCAATAAAGTCATATTTACAAAATTGATGTCTGTTTCGGATAAGGAGATCTCCAGCGTTGGCGATAGTGGCGTTGTTGGTGTCAGTGGAAGTGGCGGTGACGATCCCGATGACGACGACGACGATGATAAGAAGAAGAAGAGTGGGGTCCACCAAGATATTGATGATCATAATAGCTTTAGTGGGTTTTCAAGGAAATTGGGAAAAGCAAAGAAGCTTGTCTTGAGACCATTTAACAGAAAACTCTCTAAAAAATTAGGATCCCATATAAAGGCGGCTTCTTCTTCTTCTTGTTTTTCAGGTAAGAGGAATGGTGATGATGTTAATAAAAGTTGTTGCTTTTGTTTCACAACAAACCCGTCTGGGGAATCGGGAATTGGGTCTCGGTCTCAGAGCATTGACCCAAACCATCCCACATTCACTTATGATATGGTGAGAGTTTTGATGGAGACGAGTGATTTTTATTCAAAAGAATGCAATACCCATTTGGATTCCGAAGTCTCTTTTGCTGAAGACTGATGGATTTTTGCAATTGATTCAAATATTGTTATTTGTGTTGTTGTTCTTGTTGTTGGTCATAATATGAATATATTTGAGGTTATATAGTTTGGAATGGAAGGGTCAGACAAGAGCTTGCTGAATTTAGAAGCTCTCTTGTTCTCTGGCTCATTATATTGGAAGTTAATAATTACCCTTTTGGGATCATGGAAGATTTGGGGCCAGAAGTTTGGCAGTTTATGGTGTTTGTTCATGTGAGCAAATGTGGGTTTTTTATAAATTTAAGAGGATATACTGAGGGCTGGACAAAACAAAGCTGGGTTGCCATTTGGTCGTTATGTAAATGTATGGAAATGAAATTCAGCTCCAATTGTTGATATAATCAGGGTGTCTTGTGTTCATGAAAAAGTTAAAGCAAATTGGGTTCATTATCAAGAGTTTGAAACCATTAAATTCATCCAAGTTTTCTGGTCCCTCTCTCTCTTAGTCCCATTATTATTAATCTTTTTCTCTTGATCCTAATGTAACATTTATGAGAGACAATTTATAAATAATTAAGAATTTAAATATATGTATTTATTTATCATGATAATTTAGAATTTGTTTGTGTTATATATATCTTGTTATTAGAGTTCTTTGAGCTATCAAAGAGCCAACGATATTTTTAGTTTAGACTTTGATGATTATAATTAAATGCATAGATTTCCTTTCTATTGCTTTCTCTTCTTCCTAAATTCTTCTTTTATTTCTCTGTTTTTTGTTTTCTTTCCCTCTTTGTCACCTCTCTTGGTCCTACATCAGATATTACTTTCACCTCTGTTGTAGATTGTAACAAAGTTTCGAGTGATTAAATTCAGAAACTTGTTCTCTTAACAAGTCCAGTTACATGTTTCGGAGGATCCTAATTGTATTTCTTGTGGATGATATTCATTGAAATGGAAATAGATATAGGAGTTTTACACCCTATGCCTGGCTAGTCTCTCAATCATGTGAAAGATTTGGGAAATATTTAGTTTAGCAGAAGTATAAGGTTAGCATATATAGGAAGTAAAGTATAATCATTCCTCTCTTTTTATATTGTCTCTTGTTTGCCTTTAATACGTTATAAATTATCAAAATAATACATAAAGTTCCACCTATTCTTTATTTGCACAAAAGGGAACCAATTTTGTGCTTTTTTTTTTGTCCTTTTTGAGTGAAGTGACTTGAGTGTAGATTTTGAGTTGAGTTTGAGTTATATCTTGAGTTGAAATTGTAATTTGAGTTTGTGTTTAGTTGTGTACATTTGAGTTATGGTTTGAGATAAAAATATTTTTGAGTTTGTGTTTGAATGAGTCAAAATTTAAATTTATATTTAAATAGTATTTTAATAAAAACTCAATGCTGATAGAAAATTTTAATAGGGTATATGAGTTGGGTTTTATTCGTTTTTTCGTTGTCAACGTATAGAAAAAAAATCATCTCAATCAGAATTAAAACGAAAGAGTTATAATATTTTTAAAAATAGAAAAAATATTGTTCATTAATTTGAGTTCGAGTTTCTGAACTCGAGTTGAAGGGAAAATTTGAACTTGAGTTTTAATCCCAAACTTGAGTTCAAACTTAAAAGAATATAAACTTGAATAAAATTATAGGCAAGGTCTCTGGTCAGGCACTTGAAAAATGCCTGACCAGAACGGCACTTGTATAGTTTTGTATAAAGTGTGTATATTTACAGTAAGTTGTGTATATTCACACGTAAGTTGTGTATATTTACATGACACTTGTATAATTGTGCAATTGTGTATATTAACATGTAAATCGTGTATATTTACATATAAATCATGTATGTTAAGTTATAAGAAATGACAATGTATATTAATCCTCAAAACATGTTTTTTTTATAGCAATTAGTGAACACATAACATGAAAATATATATATTGACTGATTTATTGTATTTCATGTTAAATATACATGACTTTACATGTAAATATATATGATTTACGTATAAATATACATAATTTATACATGATTATACAAGTGTCTGACTGGTCAGGCACTTTCTAAGTGTCTGATCAGAGATAATTCTTAAAAGTGCCTGATCAGAGACAATTCTTAAAATTATAACTCGAGTTATCTTTTTTAAGTTTTTAATTCAAGAAAGGGCTGCCCAACAGCCCTTTAAATGCTTTAAAGCAAATTCAGATTTGTTATTTAGTTTATCGTCGTTTAACTGGCAATGCTTTTTGCCATATATTAAATCTGTATATGTGGAAGAATGGCTGTGTCAAGTGTGAGTTATCATTCAATACCTCAATAATGTCTAAGATTTAGAAAACTTTCAGTTGAATTATAAAACAGCTGAAGAAATCCTTGTTCTTTTCTTTATCGTTTTTTATTTATTATTTATTATTTTTTTACTACACGTACAACTTGCTCAGCAAGCGGATGACCAGTTTCAAATTTGTGATTCAAAAATTAATATATGATTTTTAAGAATTAATGCAACAAGCGGCACCATATTTTAACGAATATTCTAGTTTTTATGATTTTTTTTATTTTTCGTCTTTAAAAAATATAATAAAATAAAAATAACATTATAAAATAATGAAATTTTGCACACACGATTCTTACATTTTTCTAGACATGCAAAAAAAATAGCCATAAAAAATGATAAAAAGAGTAAAACACTGTCAAAAGCCCCCGGTCCACGTAGTGGGGCGCCCATGGGCCAACTCAGGGGGCGGGATGGGTAAAAAATTTACATTTTTATTTATATTTTACATTCTATAATTAATATACGATTTTTAAGAATTAATGCAAGAAACGGCACCATTTGTTGATGAATATTCTATTTTTTATGATTTTCTTTATTTTTTATCTTTAAAAAATAAAATAAAATAAAAACGATATCAAAAAATTATGAAATTTTGCATACATGATCCTCACGTTTTTCAGGGCATGCCTCTAAAAAATGGCCTAAAAAAATGACAAAACAAAGTAAGATAATGTCAAAAAGCCCCCAGCCCGCGTAGTGTGGTGCCCAGGGGCTGGGATGGGTCAAAAATTAACATTTTTATTTATATTTTGCATTCAAAAATTAATATATGATTTTTAAGAATTAATGCAACAAGCGGCCCCGTAGTTTGATGAATATTCTATTTTTTTATGATTTTCTTTATTTTTCCTCTTTAAAAAATATAATAAAATAAAAACAACGTCATAAAATAATGAAATTTTACACACACGATTCTTACATTTTTCTAGACATGGAGAAAAAAATGGCCACAAAAAATGACAAAAAAAGTAAAACGCTGTCAAAAGCTCCCGGCCCACGTAGTGGGGCGCCCATGGGCCAACTCAGGGGGCGGGATGGGTAAAAAATTTACATTTTTATTTATGTTTTACATTCTATAATTAATATACGATTTTTAAGAATTAATGTAAGAAGCGGCACCATTTGTTGATGAATATTCTATTTTTTATGATTTTCTTTATTTTTCGTCTTTAAAAAATAAAATAAAATAAAAACGACATCAAAAAATTATGAAATTTAACATACACGATCCTCACATTTTCCTGTGCATGCCTGCAAAAAATGGCCTAAAAAAAATGACAAAACAAAGTAAGACGACGTCAAAAAGTCTCCGGCCCACGTAGTGGGGTGCCCATGGGCTGGGATGGGTCAAAAATTTACATTTATATTTATGTTTTGCATTCAAAAATTAATATATGATTTTTAAGAATTAATGCAACAAGCGGCACCATATTTTTATAAATATTCTATTTTTTATGATTTTCTTTATTTTTCATCTTTAAAAAATATAATAAAATAAAAATAACGTCATAAAATAATGAAATTTTGCACACACGATCCTTACATTTTTCTAGGCACGCAGAAGAAAATGGCCATAAAAAATGACAAAAAAGTAAAACGCTGTCAAAAGCCCCCGGCCCACGTAGTGGGGCGCCCAGGAGCCAACTCAGGGGCTGGGATGGGTCAAAAATTTATATTTTTATTTATGTTTTACATTTTATAATTAATATATGATTTTTAGGAATTAATGCAAGAAGCGGCACCATTTGTTGATGAATATTCTATGTTTTATGATTTTTTTATTTTTCGTCTTTGAAAAATAAAATAAAATAAAAACGACGTCAAAAAATTATGAAATTTTGCATATGCGATCCTCACATTTTTCTGGGCATGCCTGCAAAAAATTACCTAAAAAATGACAAAACAATGTAAGACGATGTCAAAAAGTCCCCGGCCCATATAGTGGGGCGCCCAAGGGCCGGGATGGGTAAAAAATTTACATTTTTATTTATGTTTTGCATTCTAAAATTAACATATGATTTTCTGGAATTAAGGCAGCAAGCGGCACCATTTTTTGATGAATATTCTATTTTTTATGAATTTCTTTATTTTTCAAAGAAAATAAAAACGACGTCAAAAAATTATAAAATTTTGCATACACGACCCTCACATTTTTTTGGGCATGCTTGCAAAAAATGACCTAAAAATGACAAAACAAAGTAAGACGATGTCAAAAAGTCTCCAGCCCGCGTAGCGTAGTGGGGCGCCTAGGGGCCGGGATGGGTAAAAAATTTACCTTATTATTTATGTTTTGCATTCTAAAATTAATATACGATTTCTAGGAATTAATGCAACAAGTGGCACCATTTTTTTTTTATGAATATTCTATTTTTTTATGATTTTATGTATTTTTCGTATTTAAAAAATAAGATAAAATAAAAATGACGTAAAAAATTATGAAATTTTATAGACATAATCCTTAAATTTTTTTGGGCATGCCTGCAAAAACGGCCACAAAAAATGACAAAAAAGTAAAACACTGTCAAAAAGCCCCTGACTCGTGTAGTGGGACTCCAGGGGCCGGGATGAGTCAAAAATTTACATGTTTAATTATGTGTTACATTCAAAAATTAATATACCATTTTTATGAATTAATGCAATAGGCGGCACCATTTTTTGATGCATATTCTATTTTTTTATGATTTTTCTTATTTTTTGTCTTTGAAAAATAAAATAAAATAAAAATGACGTAAAAAAATTATGAAATTTTGCAGACATGATTCTTACATTTTTCTGAGCATGCCTGCAAAAAGTGACCTAAAAAAATGACAAAAAAAGTAAAACACTGTCAAAAAGTACTCGACCCGCATTGTGGGGCGCCTCGGGGCCG